GGTTGGATCTTGAAAGGGAAGGCAAAGGAGGGGGAAGAAGAAAAAACAACAACCGGGCCCTCTCCATTTAAAAGCTAAGCAAACTGTGAAATAATTGAAAAGGTACGTCAATCAAGAGCCCAGCAAGGGGTCTGAGGTTCCCAGGCTGCCCCCCGGTGCAGCACAGAGAGCAGGGAGGGACGAGGAGGAGGCAGCCCAGGGAATTCAAAAGCTAAAAGGTGACGGAGAAAGAAAGGAGGAAGAAAGTCCAGGGGAAGCTTTTGCAACATCTTTGGGTTCTGCAAATCCTTTTAGTGATCCAGAGGAAAGGGGGTTTCGTTTTCGCAAAGATCCCGGCAGGTATAAAGGGCTTTGCTTCCCTCTGATACGTCTGTCACTTCACAGGTGAGCTGTGCACCTTTCTGCAGTGCTGGTGGTGGGGGGGTGGAAGTGGAGGCAGAGAGGGGGGTGTTTGGGTTTGTAAGAGACGACCACACAGTGACATGACCCCCCACACCCCCTCCCTTCCCCTACACCCCCCCTCTCCACCCGGACCACCACCACCATGACACTGACAAAGGGGACCTTGTGAAAGACCCATTCTTGTTCCCCTCTGCTCTGCTTTTTTTGGGAGGTCAGTGAAGGCTTAAATGATCTGACGATGGGCTCACTTCCAAGCAGCGAGAGAGAAAGAAAAGAGAAAGAGTAAAAAAAAAAAACACAGAAAGCAAGCAGGCATGGGTTTGTTCCTCACATTTTTGTTTGGGGAACAAAAAAAAGTCCCATAGAAAGGAAAATGGTTTTAGTCCACACTTGACTAAACGTGTACAGACACAGGTTTCTTGTAATTGCCACTGATGGCTTAGGCCGAAACCGTGTCAGAGGTTAACAGATCACGACAGGCGAAGCAAAACGTTTTCAAAGTCAATCTGCGAACTGGAAGGGAAGGTTTCAGAATGATTCTCGTTGTTAAAAGGGAGTTTTGCATGCACGCGGCACGCGGGTTTTTTTCTCTCTTTCAGCGGGCCCTGTTCTGCGTGATGGCTGGGATGAGCTGTATTGTTATGAAAGAACAGGTCCCTGGGGCTGCCCCCCCCCGTGCTGGAATGGTACGGGACTCTCTCCCGCCACAGCTCAGTCCAGTTCCCCCGCTCTCGGTCTCGGATCCCTTTCTGTTGCTCCGTTTCCTCCGGCGTGCAGAGATCACAAAGCCCGGATCTCTCCGGCGTTCCGGGACTGCATTGAAGACTCAGCTGGGATTAGTGTTCCTTAGGCTGCAGTTCCACTCAGTTCCAATCCAACGGACAGACAGTGTGAGAGAACACGGCTGACTAGAGGCTTCGTTCTCTTGAATTGTCTATTATAGTGGGAAGAACGCTGGATGCCCACCATTCTTGTCACTTGTTAATAATGAATAATTTCTCATGCTTATATGTGCTTTTCTGGACACTCCCCTGAAAGCGCTTTACAGCCCCCACCTGGGTGATGCACCAGTCCGCTCCCCACACACCAGCTCTCAGTGGGGAGGAGAGCAGAGGCATGAAGCCAGTTCAGAGATGGGGATTATTAGGGCACTGGGGTAACACCCTTACTCTTTTCGAGAAATGCCCTGGGATTTTTACAGAGAGTCAGGACCTCGGTCTTACATCTAATCCGAGACAGTATACAGTTTACAGTATAGTGTCCCCATCACTGTACAGAGGCATTAGGACCCACACGGACTGCAGGGTGAGAGCGCCCCCTACTGGTCTCACTAGCACCTCTTCCAGCAGGAGCCTTAACTTTCGCAGGAGGTCTCCCATCCAGGTGCTGGTCAGACTCTTACCTGCTGGGCTCCAGTGGGCTGTCAGTAATGAGTTGCAGGGTGATATATCTGCTGGCTGTCGAATTCTTTAGCCTTCTTAGATGGCTGCACACTGCTATGGGTTGACTTCAATTGGCCATTGCTTTGCACAATGTGATCTAGCCTGCAAGCCTGACTTCGCCTGGTGAACATTGTCCTGCAGAGGTGCACAGCACTTTCTATTTGGATAGACAGATGCTTATAAAAGTGATGCAAACTCCGATCTGGCCCAGTCTCAGCTGAACTGGAAATGAGCTGCCTGCGTTTGCGTTGTGTAACAGTGCTTGACAATGCCAGAGGTGCCCATCAGATCTCTAAAATCTAGAGCATCAATCTAGAGCACCATACCTGCGTGCCTCTGGCTGCTGGGGCTGGATGCGACTTGTTCGTCCCTGCGTGTAAAAGAATAAAGTGGCCCAGCATGTCCTGCTGTTATTTATTTTGCGCCTCTCATTCCTAAGAAGATGACTGCACCTGGCAAGCACGGGCAGAGCTGGTGGGAGCTGGGATTCCTCATGCCACACGTGCTGGGTGGACAGCATCTCCACCGCAGCTGTCAGGGCTGTCACCAGCACAGGCTGTCGGCCTGAGAGACAGCGGGAGATGAAATGTTACCGCTTCTCGGCTTAACCTCCCCAGCCCCCCTCCCCCTCTCAGTCCATCACAAACCCCCTGCCTGTCTTCACACCGGATTGGACACAGACTACCGTCCAGCCAGGCCACTCATTTGGGGGCCAAAGAGGAAACCCTCTGCCCCCAGTCCAAACTGCTCGATGTTCACAATGCAAAGAGAGAGTGTCTCTTCACTGGACAGGTAAAGGCACAGTCCGTAACAGAGCACAGTGGCTCATCCTGGTTACTGGAGGGTTGGACAACTGAGAGCACATGATCTTCCCATTAACGGGACACTGGTCCATTGCCGGGAAATTCCCCCAGGCATACCGCTGGGGGGACAGGCGCAACTGGAGGTAAAGTACTTTTCTCAAGGGTACAAAAGCGGTGTCCGCAACAGGGACTCGAACCCACAACCCGTTGACGACAGGCACAGAGCCTTTCGTGCTCTTCTGTGCTGTCCAGGCCTTTGTCTGCTAGGGAACCCCAAAGAAGTCAAGGCCTGTTCAAGGCTCTCCCTTGGGTGTTTGTCTACTGTCGCTGTCATTTTCATGGTGGGATTCTGTTGTTCTGCGGTTGACAATTGCTCGGGGATGAAGGCCCCTGCGAGGGAGTTTGCAGATGCAAGTTTCGTTTCGAGCCAAGAACCAATAACAAAGAGACAATCCGGACGTCTGAGAGGGAGATCTGACCGTTGGCAGCCCTGTGGGGGGGGGGGGGTCCACATTACAGCAGCTCACGTAACAGAGGTTTTTTCCTGGAGTTTGTTTGCCTCTTCACCTCGACTCGCGTGTGTCTGCGGGAGATCAGATCCGCTGCACCTGTTTCTGCGTTGACGCCTCCAGTCCAGGGGAAACGCAGAGCTCGTTAACCACCTTTGCTCGTTTCTTCAACCTCCTCCCAGGGCTCACAGCTGTAGGGGGAGAGAGGAGAAGATCTGATCACAGTTCCCACACAGGGAAGCACGCTGGGAGCAGGCACTTGACACCAGTTATTCAGCCCCCGAGCATGGCAGTCACTGGTCTTGCCCCGATACGTTTCTGTCTGTCTCCATGGCGATGAGCCGGGGCCCTTCGGAAAGAAGACACCGGATCCAACCTCCTGCCACATGGCTCTGGTCGGCAATCAGACTCCGGAGGTCACAATCAACCCACAGCGATGCCCCTCCTCCGTAGGCGACGTGGGTGAGGAAGTCTTTAAAGTGGCAGTCGGGCGGTGCCTTTTGCCTGACAGGAAGCATGCCTGGGTCCCGCTGCCCCAGAGCTGGGCACACACGCGGAGCACCCTGCCGGCACCGGGCTGTGCGCTGTCTCACCACGCTGCCGTTCCGAGATACCCCTGGGGACGTCATCTGACCAGCGGGGTCAAACTGTACCCCAAATGTCACGGAACCGATAGGAAGAACGGGAGGATCCTGATGCGTAGCTGGGAATCCTGCAGAATGTGGAGCAGCACAGGGACAATATCCAAAACACGTAATCCAGGGGCTCGGCCGAAGAAGATTGGAGAAGCAATGAGTCCGGTAACCAGGGCAATCCGAGGAAGACGATCCGAAAAACGAAATCCAAAGAGCGTGGGCGAAAAGGGCAGGAGCAAAGATTAGGAGCCGGGAGCTCAGTCGAATAGGTTGAAACGCCCACAAGAGAAAACCACAGGAGGCTCCTCGATAGTGAGCAGGGGTCGGCGCGAGGGAACTTTAAATAGTGCAGGGAGAGGGACGTGGTTGGATACTTGGTCCGGGAGCGAGACTTTGTGGAATCTGGGGCCTGTGGGAAGGTGATGGGTTCAGTTGAGGAATGAGATCGTGAAACAGTGGGTTTGGGAGTGGAACGGCGTTTGCGAGGGAGAGGGGGCGGGTGGCGACGCCCAAAGGAGAAACGACTCAGACTGGAAGGCGCGGCTCCCGTCAAAACCCCGTAAGAGTCGATCGCGCTCCACCCCATGCGGCTCCGCCCCACGCTCCAACTTTGTCAGCCGAAGACGATAAGAAAGTTAGCAAAGCTGCAGAAGAGAGGAGACGATTCTGTCCATCTAGCCCGTGCGCAAGGGAGAAGCTAATTGATCTGAGTGTCTCGCTCAATCAGCCTTCGACAACAGGGCTAAGGTAGCCTGAGCATAATCCCACAGCTCACTGTGATCCCTGTCCACAGACTTCCACATAATATGCCTATGTTGCCTTTCGAAAGTTCATCAGGTTGAATTTGTACAGTATATATACAGTATTTCCTCACTCTCACTGTGTCAGTCCTATACCTTATCATGGGCTGCTATTGTCTGTATCATGTTTATGGCCACCCGTGCTTTACGATGATTTGACTGTGATCCACCACACTTTACTCTGGGTGTAACCCTACAACTTCTTATAGGAGATGGATGCCAAACTGTTTCCTTCGTTGCGTGAGAGGAATGGCTTCATTTTCTTATGTAACCTGCTTTTATTCCCCCTCAATGAAAAGATGGGTTGAGTTGAGCCTGGTTCTCCAATTGGTAACAATTTAGTCCAGGTCTTTGGCTCCAGGACTCCCGGCTCTAACCTGGGCTCCCGTTCTCCTTCTCTCTTTCGCAGGTCTGATGGAAATCCGATCTGTCAGCGTGGGAGTGGTCGCGATCAAAGCTGTTAGCACTGGCATGTACTTAGCTATGACCAAGAAAGGCACGCTCTATGGATCGGTAAGTGAAACAACAGGTTAGCTGAGCACCTTTAGCCTTTTAGCATTCGACAATTTGTTATCTGAAATTATGGACATAAATTATGTATGTCAGACTGAGGCCCCATCGAGCCGCTGTGTCCTGTGAGTTTCATTGCCCAGATACTTCACTGGATCTAATTATTCCATGAACTCGGCAAACCCAACACCTCCCTATGGGCTGCAGAAAGCTGTCCTTGTAACATAACCTTGTATTAAGCAGATCTTTTACATCATCAGCTGTGAAAGACAGTGGAAAGGAAACTCTTATTACCCACCAGCTGAAATAACGAGGTTCATTGAATCGCCAACCAGACGAACTGGATACTGACCTACAGGACAATTGTTAACAGCTTTCCAAACCAGACCGCCACTCTATTCTGAGCCAGAATTCATCGTGTTTGTAGGTGCCATTTTTGTTTTAGTTTACCTGCTGTGTTAAAAGAACTCTTTGAGCAGGACGAACCACAATCTACGTGTAGATTTGCATCCAATTAAATAGTTTAGATTGTGAAGGCTCAGGGAAAGAGCAATATGCCACTGTAGGAAGCAAAGCATGAACCTAGCTAGCACTTTTCAACCACCAGTGAATCGAAGGACACAGATCTGAATCCTGGAGAAACATGCAGCTTAATGTTGTGTTGTAGAAGAGATTCTCCTCTTCACATTAGACGACTAGGTTAGTCAGAGCTGAGTGTCTCGAAGAGCAGAGCGAATGCCCTGGTGATGTTGCGTGCCTTCTGGCAGGTGTTGAGCTCACAGCTGTCCCTGCTCCATAATAAGGAAGAGTCCTCAGCTCAGTTATCTGGCCTTTGAGAGAAATCTCCACTTGGCAATCAGTTCCCAAGCCAAGATAAGATGAGTAACAGACAGTGAGCAGAGTAAACAAGACAATTTGCCAGAGTGAGGATCAAGATAAACTTAGCATCAAACAATACCTTGTTACATTACCCTTTGAATCTCACCTCAGTACTCATTAATCGCACAGTCACGGTGCAGAGATCTAATCGCCATGAGGGTGTCTGATTGCTCAGTGCTCTGCTTTGCCGTGAAAGAAATGTCTCCTCTTTACTTCATAAGCCCTTCTGCTTTCATTTTAGTTTCTTTTCTTGCTCAAAGGGGAGCCACTACCCTGTCGTGCCTTGTGAGTCATAACGCCGAGCAGATAATGAGCCGAGTCAGAGGCGGGGGGGCTGGTTTTGTTTGCGGTGTTGACAGAGAGGAGCCTGAGTCTGGGGTTTGCCGATGACAGGACACCCTGGGGACAGGGCAGTTGACAGACACATGCCATCGCCTAGCAGATTAACATGCAATTCATTTCTTCCCCTTCGCCCTGGTTGCTTGTCTGCATTTTAGAGAACGTTTTATACCCAGCTGGTAAAGAATAGACTGCATTTACTCTTCCCTTGGCCAAAAGTAAACGTTTACACTCAAAAGAAGCTGCCTTTTTGTTTTGGTTTTAAAGTAATTTCCACCCACGTCGTCTGTTTGTCAGGAGTATTTTTCTGGTCACTTCCTCAAACTGTGTTCCCACTTTAACACCGACACCTGCCCCCACCCACACGAGCACAGATTATTTCACAAGCAGGTTCCAGCATTAACTGAAACCGCATTAGAACATAAGGAAAATTACAGAGGACAGAAGCCCTAGAGTAGGCCCTAGCCTTATTTAGTCCCTCCATTTGGTCATTAGAAGGATCTGAGGATATCCAGCTGTTTCTCAAAAGAAAGGCATCATCTTTAACAGCACAGCTGGGCATGATCATGAATCATGAAGGGTATGCAGAAAGCTTCTGAACACGGGAATACAATTAATAATAAACTTTATTTATATAGCGCCTTTAAAAGCATCTTTTCTGAGTACTACACGGGAAATCCATTTATTCCTTTATTCCTTGTTTTAATTGTATAATGTTAGCATGCCCAAAGGGGTTGTGCATCCAGTTGACCTTGGACCCCCAGAGGTTTCTTTTTCGCCTTACTAAAGGAGTTTTTAATTCCTCTCCTCCGTTGTCTTCTGGTCTTTTCTGTTCCGTATTCACAACATGTACGGTCACTCGCGTCGTTAAGCGCCTGGGGGCAACCTTGTTGTGCAAGGCCCTCTATAAAAATCAACTGAATTGAATTGAATTTTTTTTTATAAAACAAACAGTTAAAACAATGAAACAATAGCAAAGATGCAAAGGTGATGGTGCTAAAAAAAATTTCTGGAAGGGTTTTGGATGCAGTAGAAGATGCTAAGCGGCAGACACAGACATCCCTCAAATAATATCCTTAATAACCCTAAATAAATCTATATTTAGATTTGAAAACGTTGTGGATGGGGGGGATCCCCTTGGAAAGAAAACACAGCTATATAAGTAATTCGCTGATAGATACTAGAATAGTTATGCAATACCGTATAAGGTCAAGGTCATATTATATAATTACATAGTTCGCTGATGATTTTGCGGACGGGGGGTTTTCCCCACCGGGGAATTTTGGTTTTGGGGGGGTTTGGGGTTCCTTTGGGGGGTTGGGGGGGGGGCGGCGGTTTCCGGGGGGCTTCCCGGGATTCTTGGGTTTTTTGGTTGGGCTTTTGCCGGGGGGCGGGGGGCGGGCTTGTTTCCCCTTCCGTTTTTTTTGTTTTGTTTCCCCTCTGGTCTCCCGGACCCCCCTTCCTGCAGGTGAAGTACAACCCCAACTGCAAGTTCAAGGAGCGGATCGAGGAAAACGGATACAACACCTACGCCTCCCTGCGGTGGAAGCACAACGGGCGGCAGATGTTTGTGTCGCTGAACGGGCGCGGGAAGCCCCGCAGAGGGCACAAGGCACGGCGCAGACACCCCTCGACCCACTTCCTGCCCATGCTTCCCTCCTAGCCAGGCAGCCGCCCCCGTTTCCCATAC